AGTCGTTCTAGAAAATACAGTCCCTCGAAGGAGCCATTGTTCAGTTCTGTGATCTTATTACTGTTCAAGATTCTGGAAGAATAAAACCGGGATTAGTGGGATACAATTACAACACAAACAATACACTGAACTTCACACAGATTCTATAAAACCCATACAGAAGAACTACAGCAGGAACAAAAAAACAAAAAAACAAAAAGCCAGCAAGCTTACAAATGAAGGAAATAGGTGATCTATTTCAGAGTTTCACTATTACTGGTGGGAGCTGAAGCTGCAGAAATCCCTGCACTAAAGGTAAAAGATCAGTTATCAAAAGTTGACTACTCCTTTCCTGTTAAGAACATTTAGGCCTCATGTACACTAGATGTAAAACAACACCACTTTTAAGCCTAGTTCACACTGGCATTGAAAGCAGGCGTTTGAGGGGTGTTTTTAATGCCTATGCAAATGATACTATGGACAGCACACAGTGCTGTTCACATTATCAAAACATGAAGCGTTAGCGTTGTGTCACTTTAAAATTGAAGCCTCATGTTGAGTCTTTGAAGCCTTTCAAAACCTCCCATTCAAGTCTATAGGTTTAGGTATAGGTTATAAGTTAAAGTGTTACTAAACCCACAACAGTAAAATCAGTCTGTATATGCAGTAAAGCATGCTTGTTATACTCACTGTGGAACCTAAGGGGTTAATCCTCTGCATTGTTTAAAAAAGGCTGTTTGATCCTTTCATTTCTCTTCCCCTCCTCTTGTTCAAATGACCACCTGATACAGACTGAATCCGTAGTCACATGCACATGCTCAGTTTCGTGTGTGTATTGCCAGAGGTTTTTTTTTTTTTCTGGGAGAGTGCATGTGATCAGCAGAGTGCCAATCAGCACTGTCCAGACAGAGGGTCAGGGGTTTCACATCCTCCTAGAGCAGAAAGAAAACTCCTCCTACAAGCTTTAACCAGTGCTCTGCTGAAGTTACAAGACTGCTCTAACTGCTGATGAGAAAAGGTATTTAGCATTTTATATTTACTAAAATAATTGCATTTCCATGTTCTGTGTACAGTGGGAGACCAGATATAGTCAATGCAGGGTCCTGGATTTAGTAACACTTTAATAACATATTATAGGCATTTGTGGCATAGTTTTTAACTCTTGTAAAATGCGACAAACCAGCACATAGGCATTTGTAGGGCATAGCACTTTTTTTTTCCTGCCTCTAAATGCCCCTCTATGTTAGCCAACTGTAATTTTCCTTAGTCAAAATGGCGGTGCCAGGACACAACAGCCGACTGAAGAATCAGCTCGGGGTGAGGACACCGCTGGATCCCTGGACAAGTAAGTGCCCGAACATTAAAGGTCAGCAGCTACAGTATGTGTAGCTGCTTTTTTTTTTTCTTTTGGGAGGGGCAGAACTCCTCTTTTAATACACTGTAATGGCTAGAATCAATTAAATTCTGGCCAAAATAACACATTAAAGCACGTGCGCATAATCATGTGTTCACTGCTAGGAGAAAAAGCATTCAGAGGTGTTAAAGGTTCATTGTTGGTGATTCCATAACACACAACAGGATTGTGTAATGTCCTTGCTTCTGTTTCTGCTACAGACCCACAAAACACAAAACTTAGCACTGAAGATAAAGTGAATAAAGGATCTGGTAATACTGCATTTGTTATTTGTGGCTTGTAGATCCCTTTTCACACCTGAAGTTTTAGATGTGGTGTGTGAAAAAAATCCTGCTTGCTGCATCTTTAATGAGCATGTTTTAGTGTGCAATGGCAACACACGTAAAATTAATGTAAAAAGCACAGAAAACGCAATGCCCCGCACAGATGTGAACTGATCCGTAGGACATATTCTGATGGGCTATGGTGGTGACGTTCAGCAAGATCCTGAGTGAAAACTTGTCCATGAGCATGCAGCAATTACAAGCGTATAGATCAACTGAACTCTATTGGCTGCCACCATTGCTCAGGGCTACCATGTGAACAATGCGTAAGGCGTTGCTAATTATACTGTATAGGTCGGCCCTGGAGGAGTCACTAATGCAGCAGCGTTGTATGTGCAGAATGACATTCATCACATCTACTGTATAGCTCAATACATCCTATTAAAGAAAGAATTGGGATTCCTTAAAATTGGAAAGACTGGACAGGAAGTCCACTCTCTGTAATAACTTCCCCCACAATAACAACTTGTGTTAAAGCCTGTCTGGACTGAACATTACATTGTTCAGTTACATCTGTAAAAGTGAAAAAGCTATTCATGCAGAAAACCTTTCAGTCCCACTCCATGTACATACACCAATTTCTTCCAAGATCCAGGCCATGTACTGTGTATAGGGCAAAGGCTCTTGGAAGATGTAGTTCTGGGGGCAGGCCTATATCAACAGGAACTGAGCTCCCAGCAGCTGCGTCTAAAAATTTTACAAGTCTGGCAATTAGGGATAAGCTTCATAGCCTAGTCCAGGGGTCTCCAAACTTTCTAACCGAAGGGCAGGTTTACTCTTCTTCAGACTTTCGGGGGCCAGACTGTGGCCACTGGAAGAAGAAAATGTTTTGGTGTCAGTGGGAGTAAACATGGCCCGATCTTTGGTTTTAGGGGGTGGAATAATGCCCCAATGCCGGTGTCAGTGGCAGGAATAGTGCACCATCATTGCTATCAGTGGGAGGAATAATGATCCATTGTTCGTGCCATTGGGGAGAATGGTGCCATTTATCAGAGGGAAGAAGAGAACCACAAGGGCCAGATAAGCAAAGGACTACATCTGGCCCCCGGACTGCAGTTTGGAGAACACTGTCCTAGGTCCTAGTCCAAAACAACCTGAGCTATCCTGCCAGAAAGCTGTAACTGTACAGAGCCAATGGTAAGTGGCCAATGCATTTCCCACCCCACAGACACACAAATACAGAAGGGAGTGTATACGAGTGGTTGCAGGGCAGGGAATGCCTTGAATAGTTCTCATTGGCTCTGTACAGTGGCAGCTTCCTGGCAGGATAGCTCAGGTGGGTTTGGATTAGGATCTGAACATGCCTGAGCTCATACCTGATGTCACAGGGAGTCAAAGACCATTTCTTACTTCAGCAACAAGGTAAAAGACTTATTTGGACAAATTTGGGTTATACTTGGGTTAGACATGCATTAAATTAACCAGAAGGTTCTGACCACTGCAGAATTGTTTAGCTACTTGGAATCTCACGTACAACTGTGGACATCTCGTATATGCAACACCTTTTGTATTGCAATTAATGTGCTGGTTGATTCTTCCTGATTTTAGGAAGAGCCTTCTTCAATATACCGGTAACAGATGGGATAAAAAAAAAAACTACCATATTATGGATACTCTTCTACTTGAAAACCAGAATTTTTTTGGGTTGTTTATCTATATACACATACAATAGACTGCATGCACATTTCTTTATAGAAGGCCATGATCTAATGATATGCCTTAATATTTGTAGGCACCAAAATGACTGCTCCAAATTGTCCACCCTAGGGGTCTCCTACAAAAGATCAGACAGGCTTCTATGAAAAGATATATTCCAGTCCTAGTTCTGGACAACTCTTGTAACCATCTGCTTAGTATCTGGCATTCTTTATCACCACTCCAACAGTCCCACAGGAAGAGCCCTGACTATCCCGGAGATGACAGCTGGTCGCCTTTAAGTTGGAATCACCAACGCATTCTTTCCCACATGTGATGGGAGATAGCTGGTGTCTGTTCACATCCCCTCTCACAGTAATATCCAAGAAGTTGATGCTGGTGGAGTCAGACTTCAAAGTAAATAGAAACTGCAGTCCATGTCATTGAGAAAAATCCAAAACTTCATCCAATCCCCTAGAATCCACACCAGCTTGTGTACCAGGCTTAGGCATCATTCACATGGACTCCTGAATTTATTTATTTATTTAAGTCCATCTCTGAGAAAAACGTATTTAAGTGGGGTTTCCTCTGAACTACTAGGGTTAAATACTCATTTAGGTCCAGGGGGCTGCACAATGCAATTTTACTTACCATATACTCCATTGCCCTATAGACCAGTAGTCTCCTCTACTTCCCTACATTCCAGCAGTTGACTGTTCCTTGGTGTCCTCAAGTCCAGTGCAGGACTGAGGTCTCTGCATTGGACTTGATGTCACATGACCTGCAACTGCCACTGCATAGGTGAGAAGAGGCTGCAGGGATTGGTCTTATGGCCCGGAAGGATTGGAGGATCAGGTACCTAAAACTGCATTTTAATGTCTCCTAGAAAGACCTAGACGAGCAGTGTGGAGGGCAGCCTCACATCAGGGAGGTTTTACTTTTTTCTGGAGTTCAGCTTTAAACACAGGATAAATTCATCTGGGAAGTATAGTGTTGTTTTTGTTTATAAGAATGTGCTTTTATATTTATTATAGGTATTTATATAGCGCCATCAATTTACGCAGCGCTCTACATATATGTTGTGCATTCACATCAGTCCCTAACCCTCAAGGGGCGTACAATCTAAGGTCCCTAACTTACATTCATACATACACATACTAGGGCCAATTTACACAGGATCCAACTAACCTAGCAGCGTGTCTTTGAAGTGCGGGAGGAAACCGGAGTACCCAGAAGAAATCCATGCAGGCACAGGGAGAAAATGCAATATTTAAATCAGTTTACACGTGTTTAGGTGTTCTATCCAGAATTTGTCCTCCAAGCTCCCTTTTATTGCCTACACACTAGTTTACATTTGGTTAGAGTATGTAACGTACCCCTGGAAGAACATTTGATTCTATTTTTTCTAAATAGAATTAAACGGAATGCATCTGAACACAAGACGACATAAAGGGTGCATTACACAATTTAAAGCTGCACCCATGGATAAGCAAACATTCTCTACATCCATTCATCGTGTGTGTTCTTCTTTAAAATCGTGATGTGTTTTGTGTAATTCTTCTGTGCAGTAATGCAGTGGGAAACTTGTCTTTGTGTAGGAGCTTCCTGTAGTAAAGACCGGTCAATGCTGCTCTCTCCTTGTGCAGGGTGACTGGTCTGGTCTCCGCCCCCTTCTGTAGTTACCCGCAGGTAGTCTGTAGTGGGTGGAGCCTGTTGAATCC